GTATTCAAGTTCACGCTTTAAGCAAAGATAAGGATGGTTGTAAGAGGTGAATGATTTCAGGATTGTCGTGATTCTGCTTATTACAATCATTTAGCCTTCAAAAAATCTGAGCACACCTGATGGTGGGATTTCGTTTCCTCTCGATTCAACGGTGGCTGGCAGTGGGCGAGTTCTTACATGGAAGGCAACATTTTGTGTGTGAAGTAGCGGAAATTTGAGCCTACTTAATTTGCCTGTTTTTTTTTGAGTTGGACAAGGCGCAAATAGAAAGCCTCTCAATGTACCTTAGTCCTTCTAAGTCGACTGGATGCAAAGTGAAATTTTGCGGCTCAAATTAGCAGCTTGGGTTGATCTTCGAAAGCAATTGATCCATCCTTTTTTATAAAGACGTCCATTTTAGGTGATGGCGTGTGATCTGCAACTAGCTTAAAAAAGTAAATTAATATGAAATTTTTCTAGGATTACAGGCGATAAGTTAGTGTTCGCATCAGGCACGTCACATTAAATTATTCAGTTATCCAATGGGATAAATTAACAAGACATCAAAACGGAAGGCCATTTAAATGAAATGCAACTGTTATGAGCGAAGGTTGATTAACTAACTTAAGCGTGCATTCTCGGGAAAACTGACCTTATGACTTACGGCCGCCATGTCCAAATTTGCTTCAAGGGCCACGTGACAAGGTAAAATTCATTGATTCCATGTTATGACGTCTGAGTTGGAAAATGGAAACCTCGGGGTGGAAGTTTTTGTGGAGAGGCTTGCATGCCTTGAGAACACCCTCCAACACGTAAAATGCCACCTCCCTAGTTTTTACGAGCACATTTCGGCGGTGCCTGTGAAAAAGGCCTTACAAAGTGTTGTCGAATGCATACCACCTAACGCGTTTACTGTGTCTCGGAGGAACAGTGATCTTGCAGGAATGGCTTCTGAAGAGCAGGCGAAAATTGAATTTCTTCTCGTAAAATTTATGCACGCTGGGGAAACGGCGAATGACAGAGCCTTAATGCGTCAGCCAATGCGATATTCTACTTTCCAGAACTATGTGCAGCTGGACGGGGTCAAGGTTTCCAAGTCCACCTTAAAACTGTCAAAGACATCTGATCTATGCGAATGCAATCAAGAGTACACCAGCAATCGCACAATTCAAGCACAAATCTCGAATTCAGGTAGATCGCTACAGAAGTCCCTTCAACTTCTTAGTGCGTTAGAGAAAGCAGCTCAGTGCTTCGAAGAGTTTCCGAACACACCAGTGCTGAAGGAGGAAATTGTCATAATGATCCGATGCCTTAAGGCTAACATTATGAACCTTTTGCGTGGAATAGCATACCTGAATAACCATCGACGGATTACGCGAATACTTGCCAAATTACGGCAGCGTGGGACAGTGAAGACACTCTTAAATAGAATGGAAGAGGAAAAAGGGAGGAAGAGAGCGTGGAGATTCTAAGCTTTCCGTAAATGGGAGATTGGAGTTAAAGCAGCTTACCCGCGTATGTTTATGGGGAAAAATCAGGGAAGGATTTTTAAATGCCTAGACCCAATGTTCTTAAATAGATTTATATGGCGATAGCTATGTCAGTCTTATATTTAGCTTCCATGTAGCCAGTGCCCTATGATTAATGGAATATTAGCCTAAAGAGTATTAACTAGTAGTGGACAAGGCCTTGTTGAGTAGCATGGCTGATTTAACTCTGTTAGGTGCATGATGAAATGCTTATGACAATCGATTGCATCCAATAAAACGAGTTTGCTTATGAGATGAACAAAGCGAGCTTAGTTCATAATAACCACCAGTTTTGGGCATTGCTCAGCATGTAAAGACTGCAATCCATAGTTTCATACTCAGCTGTGTATGCCGAAATTCAGCAAAAGGCAAATATGTTTAAGAATGCACTGTAATAATATTAAAGGGATTTAGTAATTAACCAACCAACAAGTTCGACAGAAATAGGATCACCAGTCACCTTAAAGTAGGTTAAAATAAGTCAGTAGTTAAATTAAAAAAGCACAATTCTGAATGGTAAGCCTAAAGTAAGGAATAGCGGAATCATCGAGCCCCATTTTAAGGTTGGTAAATTATAACAGCTGACAATAGGCTATAGTATGGAATTTTGCTGTCGTCCGTTTAAGCAAATTAGAAATTTGAGAAGGAATAAGCGGGTTTTTCGTTTCCGTTAGGCACTCATGCGTCGTGTTGCGTTTGCGGTCGGTGGTATGTTCCATGGTGGTTTATTTTTCCATTTCGATTTAATTTCACTTGAAATATCTACTAGACTATTACTTTTAGATTTTGAATTCGCCTTCAGGGCTCTTAAATTATATACCTTTTAAATAATTGACGGCGAAGCTATTGGTACCGTATGGCCGTAACACGTGCTATGGTCCAATCACGTTTACTGTCATCACCAAGCATTTGTTCTTTTGGTTTTTGAACCTATATGAATCTTTTGTTAAGTGGTCAGAACCCTCACTAGTAGACGTCTCTTGATCCTGCTGTATGTAATGTCACAACACCGATGCCTCTTTCTCCTACCGAGCTCTTTGTTAGTGCTGTGTTAATTGTACCACTTTCCAAGATACGTTGTCAAGAGGATATTCAAAGTCTGTTGGTTGGCTTCATTTGTTATTCCAGCAGGCTGATGTTTTCCACTGACTATACACTAGCAGAAGTGGACCGTGGCATTCCTCATCATAGCGTTATCGAGGACAATTTGTATGACGACCGCGAAGCATGCGTAAGTTGTTCCCTTTGCGCATGGTCTTGTAGATAGGGTCGCTTGTCAATAGATCATGCTTTCCGCTAGAAATATCGAAAACGAAAGGTAAGTAGATTCTCGACTTCCCTTACGAGTCTTTTAAGATACTTCTGAAATATATGGCGAATTTCACTATGCCTGGAAACAAGTGGATGGGGACCCTCTTGCATTGGCAGAAAAGTTCTCACTTCTGACAACTGAATATCTTTCAGTCTTACCGAGTTCAGATCGATGTTCTGCATTTTCCTCCAAGTAGAATGTTGGTTTTACATTGACTGTTCTTAGAAACAACTACGGATCCTGCCTCTTCGACGCTATTAGCTTGGAACAGTCAGCTTGGCGACTACTGCACGCTCTGTATAGTGATCGTCTCTCCCATGCAGACTCTCCATTGAACAGGGAATCACTTAAAGTTGTATCATTAATTTTTTTTCAAGTCCTGCCTATAGCTGCACTGTCACTCGGAAAAGGATATTGTTAGCAATTTGTATGACTTGGATGACGATCTTCGGGAAACGCAAGTAAGTCTTTTGACTACCATACTACTATACATGCTCAAACGAGCATTTTTAAACCACAGCTTCAAAAGCTGGACTTTCTAAGTTTAGTCCTTTGTATTTTAGATAGTAGTCGATTGGCTGGAAGGAAAAGTTAGAGAAGAAATAGTGAAAGTGGCAGAAAAACACGAATGTCTCTTTAACGAGATCGCAGTATGGTGAGCCGATTGTGATTTGGTTCTTTTATGTGTTCTGTTGGCCTAGTTCTTTTATACGTTTGTGCTGTGGCTTAGGGAGAATACGCGTCACCTTTTGGAAACTTTGAATGCTAGTGAACTCAGATCCAGGCATTTAGTCACTCAGCTGGTGAGTTTCGTTGCTTTTGACTATCATAACCAATGAACGTACATCGATTGTACCTATAGTTTCCGGATGTTGCTCTTGTTGGTGAAGATACTCTGGCCCAAAAAGACGTATCAGATGAAAATCGTTACCTGCATTATCTATTTTTGTGCGTCAGGGGTGGTGATTTGCAGAGGGTATGCTTTCTTCTATAACTGTTTGATTTATCATAGCATTTCTTTGGTAAGCCAAGCAGAAAGCTGTTAACTCAGTTGGTTAGAATCACTTTCATGAGGGTTCACAGTTTTTTTAAAATTCATCCACACCTTTATGCGTGCTAGGTTTTTTTCGAACACGGCCAAGTTGCTATTAGTGAACCCCCCAGCTGTCCTATGGACGCGAAGATTTGCTTATAGACCTCTATCCTCTAAGAACGTAACGTGTTTAATCGTTGTTATTGGTTACATCAAATCTAGAATATTTGTAATGCTAGGTTTCAGAATGACCAGATAGTCTTTAATTTCTATTTTATTTGAGGACTCAACGCATTATCCTTACACTACGATGTTAGGACAAATTGCGATTCAAATAAGTGACAACTAGGGTAGTAAACTTAATAACCGACATTTTTATTGCATAACTTCATCTGCTTCTGATGTCATATAATGAGTGCATTCACAAATTAGGCAGAAAGCATGATCAGCACATGGAGAGTTCAGATAGTTAATACCTTTAAAGTGCGCAGACAGGAATACTACCTAGTCAGGTCTGGCTAAAAATTTTACGACTTGAATTTGCGAATC